GCGGGGTTGGGCAGAGGCGGTGGAAGCTGCAGCCGGCAGCGAGGCCGTCGTGCCACATACCCGGGTCTGTCAGAGGACGGAGAAGTGCTGCTGTGGGTGCTGAGTGGCGTTCCTGCCTTCGCCTCCCACAGCCTGACGTGGCAGGAGCATCTGGGAGAGCAGAGACGTTCTAAGTTTCACATGCGTCTCTTCTTCTTTCCCGGAACTCCAGGGAATGGGAGCGATGCTCTATATTGCCTGTCACCGTTTCACACCACTGGGTGTTTTTTGTGTCACTGTGCATCAGAATGTAAATTGTCATCTGACTATTCCCACTGTCTTTTCTCTGTTAGTAACTTCCTGTTAGTAATAATTCCTGACATTTAAGAAGCCCAGGAATGGGATATAATCCGGTTAGAATGGCCACTGCAGAAATACAGGTTGGAAATTTACAAAGGCAGACTGAGAGTTGGGGTGGTTCAGCCTGGAGAAGAGAAGGCTCTGGGGAGACCTTATAGTGGCCTTCCAGTATCTCAGGGGGCCTACAGGAAAGCTGGAGAGGGGCTTTTTACAAGGGCGTGTAGTGAGAGAACAAGAAGTAGTGGTTTAAAACTGGAGGAGGGGAGATTTAGGTTAGAGATTAGGAAGAAACTAGTTAGTGTGAGGGTGGTGAGGCACTGGAACAAGTAGCTGAGGGAAGCTGTGGCTGCCCCCTCCTTGGAAGTGTTCAAGGCCAGGTTGGATGGGGCTTTGAGCAACCTGGTCTAGTGGGAGGTGTCCCTGCCCAAGCAGGGCACTAGATGACTATGAAGGCCCCTTCCAACTCAAACCATTCTATGATTCTATGACGAAGTAACTCTTCTTGCTACCCAAGTTTTTACTTTGCAAAAAGTAGTATATGCAAGCATGGTGAGTGCCACATACAAGGGGGTTGTGCTGGCCAGCATACTTTTCCTGTATGCTCAGCATTTCGGAAGCTCAGACTATTTTCTTAGTTAGCTTTATAGCAGAAGAGTTCTGTGGAATGCTTCAAAAGACAACCACAAGGATGATATGTACACAGGCTTCCTCCTAGACTGAAGGAGAAGTGTGAGAGGAAAACAAAAATATTTGCAAGAAAAAAATCTAATGGGATGAAGGAGAATGTGACATAAACCAAGAAGAGTTGTTATGTGACCTTCAAGTGCTGAATGAGAGATAATAGGGTAGGGATAACTAGTGAAGTGACTTCAGAGCAGTTGATTATCACTACCCTAGAAGGTAATTGTAGAAGCACTCTTCTAAAGATCTAAAGCACTCTTCTAAAGATCTAAAGAAAAAAAGTGCACTGCTTAAATCTGAGAAAATAACATTAAAACTCAAGATCAGTCATTTAGATATTCAGATGTAATTTATTTAGATGTTCAGATGTAATTTATTCTACAATTCGATGTTGCATATTTCACAGAATCATAGAATGTCCCTGGCTGGAAGAAACCTCCAAGATCGTCCAGTCCAGCCCTACATCTAACAGTGCAAGCTGAGCTCTAAACCGTGTCCAAAAGCACAAGGTCCACATGCCGTTTAAATGCATCCAGAGATGGTGACTCCACCAATTCCCTGGGCAATCTATTCCAACACCTGACAACCCTTTCAGTGAAAAAATGCTTCCTAATACCTAACCTAAACCTGTCTGGTGCAGCTTGCATCCATTCCCTCTTGTCCTATCACCAGGGAGAAGAGGCTGTCCCCCTCATCACTCCAGCCTCCTTTCTGGTAGTTGCAGAGAACAATGAGGTCTCCCCTCAGCCTGCTCTTCTCCAGACTAAACAACCACAGCTCCCTCAGCCGCTCCTCATAGGCCTTATGCTCTAGGCCCTTCACAAGCCTCATTGCCCTGTTCTGGATATGCTCCAGCACTTTTATGTCCTTCTTATAGTGAGGAGCACAGAACTGAACACAGTATTCAAGGTGAGGCCTTACCAGCCCTGAATACAGGGGGATGATCACCTTCCTATTCCTGCTCGCTACAGTGTTCTGCATACAAGCCAGGATGCCATTGGCCTTCTTAGCCATGCGTGTGCACTGCTGGCTCATAACCTAGTTGGCTGTCAATCAGTTATGCCCAGGTCCTTTTCCAACCTGCTGCTTTCCAACCACACATTTCCAAGTCTGTAGCTAACCATGGGGTTATTATGACCCAAGTGCAGGACCCGGCACTTGGCCTTGTTTCCAAGATCGTCCAGTCCAGCCCTACACCTAACAGTGCAAGCTGAGCTCTAAACCGTGTCCAAAAGCACAAGGTCCACATGCCGTTTTAAATGCATCCAGAGATGGTGACTCCACCAATTCCCTGGGCAATCTATTCCAACACCTGACAACCCTTTCAGTGAAAAAATGCTTCCTAATACCTAACCTAAACCTGTCTGGTGCAGCTTGCATCCATTCCCTCTTGTCCTATCACCAGGGAGAAGAGGCTGTCCCCCTCATCACTCCAGCCTCCTTTCTGGTAGTTGCAGAGAACAATGAGGTCTCCCCTCAGCCTGCTCTTCTCCAGACTAAACAACCACAGCTCCCTCAGCCGCTCCTCATAGGCCTTATGCTCTAGGCCCTTCACAAGCCTCATTGCCCTGTTCTGGATATGCTCCAGCACTTTTATGTCCTTCTTATAGTGAGGAGCACAGAACTGAACACAGTATTCAAGGTGAGGCCTTACCAGCCCTGAATACAGGGGGATGATCACCTTCCTATTCCTGCTCGCTACAGTGTTCTGCATACAAGCCAGGATGCCATTGGCCTTCTTAGCCATGCGTGTGCACTGCTGGCTCATAACCTAGTTGGCTGTCAATCAGTTATGCCCAGGTCCTTTTCCAACCTGCTGCTTTCCAACCACACATTTCCAAGTCTGTAGCTAACCATGGGGTTATTATGACCCAAGTGCAGGACCCGGCACTTGGCCTTGTTGAACCCCATACAATTAACCTTGGCCCACTGAACTAACCTGTCTAGGTACTGCTGTTTCCTTAGAAACATTCTTCTTTCTGCATGATTACCCACAACTATATGTAGTTTGGGGTTTTAGTGAAGCCATATGGGCTTTTTTTAGAACCTTCCGTTAATTTGTCAAAATATTTTATTATCAATTTAAGTAAACTGTAGTCCATGTAACATTTTACAGATCACCTTTTTTGAGGTTTTATTGCAGGACCACTATCCTGTGGCTGGCTCTGATCAGGCAAACCTTCCTAGCGAAGTCCCATTTGAAACTGGAAGTAGTCTGTTGACTCACATCTAGCTGGTGCCTAGGTTAGGTGGGAAAGGAGATTGCTCTGATAGTTCTAAAAACATACAAAGCTTGCTTAAATTTGAATTCATATGTGTTCTTTAAGTACTGAGTGATTTTTCTTCTCCATTAAATCCTGTCTTTTAATGTAGGATGCTGTTAAAGAAGTCTATGGCAATATATAATGAAAGAATTCGTCCAGATAACTTTGAGGGTTGTAGAAATCATAGAATCATAGAACTATTCAGGTTGGAAAAAACCCTTGGGATCACCGAGTTCAACCATCATCCCTACTCTACAAAGTTCTCCCCTAAACCATATCCACCAACACCACATCCAAATGACCCTTAAACACATCCAGGGATGGTGACTCCACCACCTCCCTGAGCAGCCTATTCCAGTGTCTAACCACTCTTTCTGTGAAAATTTTTTCCTAATGTCCACTCTAAACCTCCCCTGTTGCAGCTTGAAGCCATTCCCTCTTGTTCTGTCGCTAATTACCTGTGAAGAGACCAACACCAACCTCTCTACAATGACCTTTCAGGTAGTTGTAGAGAATGATGAGGTCTCCCCTCAGCCTCCTCTTCCCCAAACTAAACATTCCCAGCTCCTCCAAGTGTTCTTCATAAGATTTATTCTCTAGGCCCTTCACCAGCTTCGTTGCCCTCCTCTGTATTCGCTCCAGCACCTCCATACCTCTCTTGAATTGAGGTGCCCAAAACTGAACGCAATACTCCAGGTGTGGTCTCACCAGTGCTGAGTACAGGGAAACAATCACCTCTCTACTTCTGCTGGTTACACTATTTCTTACACAGGCCAGGATGCCATTGGCTTTCTTGGCCACTTGGGCACACTGCTGGCTCATATTCAGCCACTTGTCAATATCCAGACAAGATAAATTGTGTCAAGTGAACTAGTTCTAAAATGGCTAAAATATTTCCCTATGTCAGGATGCTGCCTACAGGTAGACTGACACAATAGAGTAACACTTTCAAGGTTTGATTTTCTTTGTATCAATTTGGCGTATCTCTTCTATAATTCAGTATTTTAGCTTTAGTCCATAAAATGAAGGTCCATTTATGTAAGTTCTTCTGATATTAGACTGAGGAGCTACCCTATGATGCTCATAATTGGGCTACAAAGGTCACAAAGTACTAGACTTTGAACCAGTTACTGACACTGATAAAGGCACTGTCTTTACTTGAACTTGAAAAAATAAAATTTGGGGTGAGAGGAAGGAAAAAAAGGCTACCTTGAAGTCTGTTAAAAAAAAAAAAAAAAAAAAAAAGAGGCAGGAGGGAAAGCTGTTTGTAGTAGAAAAGGTTAATGGCATTTGAGTTACGGTGAAAGTTTGTTTAAGTACCATCATGGAGAATTGTCACACAGCATTGTGTTAATGAGTTGTACAGAAATTGTTTCTGACAGGATGCAAAATCTTAATGGAAAGTAGAGGTAAAAGTTTAAGAAATAAAATGAAGCTTTACTGTTGCTATTTATCAAAAATGTGTGCTGTGCTAGCTTTTTGTTTGTAACTGACATAAAGGCAGAATAGTTGATTTTATTTTTTAAATGTCAAGGTGATCATGCTGTTCTGTGTGTCAGAATCAAGAATGTAGCAGTAGCTGTGACAAAAGAAGCTAGACTTCACCTGTTTCAAGCACCGGAATGGCAGAAGCTGCAGAACACTATCCAAGATCACAGCTGTACAGAGAAGTTCTCCAAAGCTCAGCTGACAAGTGAGTTACTACTTTTTTCCTTTACAAATTAAGTTACCTGTGTAGTTAGAACTTTGTTACCTGTTTGTTTAGAGTATTTATTTCAGTGAATTTGGACTTTGCATCAACTGAAGTAAAAGCAGGACTTTGGTCTTCTGTAATTAAAAAATATTACACGGAAATGTAATTTCTTTGTTTGCATTACTTCAGAAGACTTTGTTTGCAAGTTGAGATCTAGTATACTGCTGGAAAAGGAACAATCCTCTACAAATAATTACTTTAATGAAAACAGATAAACAATTCTATTCTCATGCTCTCACTTGTACACAACTTTTCATGATAGCACAAACGTGTCACACTCTAATATACAAAACGAGGTAGAAATTTTTAATAGAATATCAAAGATGAGCAAATCAGGATAAAGCTTAACTTGAGTATCCATCTAAATTTGAAAGAACAGTAAAACTTCGAAGCATTCAAATGTGTAACTGGATGACAAACGTATTGAAATTATCAGTTTTGCACCACTTATTGATTACTATATTACAAAACCTACTTAAAGCATACATTTTCCTTTAAGAAATTAAATTAGTATTGGAAACTTCATTCAAACATATTTTAAGTGAATGCAGCATTTTCTAGCATTTAGTTAGAATCCCTAAAGTAACCAACTGATCTCCTGGAACATTGTCATAATTAAATCTTACACAGATGTCACTTCTAAGGATGTAGTTCCCTTATATTTGATCTGAGCTGGATGTGAATTGCTGCTGAAATGACTAGCAGTCAGTCTGTCAGTCCTGTCCTTCACAGCAATGTACTCACTGTTCTCTGCCATGCTTAGGAATCATGCAACCGCAGGGTGAGTTGGATCCGTTTGCTGATCTTGGGCAAAATCAACTACATTTTTATCTTACTACATTTCCTGTGAGTTAGCTTGCGGAGTTGGTGGAAAACTGATTAAACGTGCTCTGCATGATCCTAGTGCAAAT